TCACCGGAAGACAGTGGGTCAACCGGATAAAGCACAGTGAAGAAAGAATTGCCTCTTAGCAGGCTCTAGATACCATGTTGAAATACAAGAGACTAAGAGACATTTGAATAAACCGTGTGTTTTGAAAAGCACTACGGAGACATTATTATATATAAATAGAATACAACTAATTACATGATATAGTCGATGTGGGACTATTCTATATACAAATATTCTCAACACTATATATATATATATATATATATATATATATATATATATATATATATATATATATATATATATATATATATATATATATATATATATATATATATATATATATATATATATATATATATATATATATATATATATATATATATATATATATATATATATATATATATATATATATATATATATATATATATATATTTACACATATCAACAAAAATTTCCCTTGGAGTGGGTGTACGCCCATTTTTGGTATAGAACCGATCAATTCCTCATGAAACACGATCAATTGTGCTCCGAGGATAAGAAATCTCTTTGAGCAGTGACAATGTTCATGGAGAGTTTCATCCCTGCCACAATGGTAGACAAGAAATTTCATTATGGAACTTGAATCTCACATATCCAATACTTGCAATTTTGCAAGCTTTGTTATTTCCCAGCATCATTGATCCACCATCTTGATTATACAATTCTTCAAAAACGTCTTTGCTTGAAGTCATGTGCCAAATACACCCCGAATCTATAATCTACTCCTTGCTATAGTCACTTCTTGAAACCACAAGGACATCAGATAATTCATAATCATCTTGCACAATCGCTATATCACCATTATCCTTTCCACCATGATTGTTCAGTCGATCAGATCATACTTTTCTTGTATGACCCTCTTGCTTATAATGATAATACTTAATAGTAGGAGCATTACCATCATAAAAATTATGTAGAACTTTACGCTTCTTCTTCTCAAACCTACCATCTTTCTTCAAGAATTTTCCCTTAATGGACAAACCTTCACCAACAGAAGATGATTTGTGCTCCTTTCGTTCGCTCAAATCTTTAGAGTACAAGGCAGATTGAACATCTTCAAAGGTCAACGATGTAACACCACAAATTTATTGGAATATTTATTTGATTTATTTAAATAGGAATATTCATATTTTTGGTGATTTGCGGTGGTTGGTATGAAGTATTGAAAATTATGGATTTTGGGTTATTTATTTAAATAATAGTATATAATATGAATATATTTGGTATTATTATTAATTTAAATAAATATAAGTTAATTTAAGGGTAAAGTGAATATTTGAGGAGGAGTTAGTGAGGGTGAAATTGGAAAGCCCATTTTAAGGCCCAAAGTTAGGTTTAACAAAAAGGGATTTTGACAGAATTATGATTTATTCTTGTTAGACCGTGAAAAGGGACGAAATAGAGGCCAAAGCTCTAAGGAAGAAGATTGAGGCAAAAGCTTCGCGAGACTTCCAAGAATCAAGGAGAAAGGCTTAAAGTCGGCAATTAAGGTATGGGGAGTATTGCCTTCATTATTTTCAATATATGATTCAATGTATTTAAAGCTGATTTAAGGATTTAGAAGGTTTTTGAGTTTGAGGAAAATTAGGCCTTCGTGGCCAAATCTGTTTTTGAGGTTGTTTACGCATGGGGAGTATACCTTCATTGTTTTCAATATATGATTCAATATATTTAAAGCTGATTTAAGGATTTAGAAGGTTTTTGAGTTTGAGGAAAATTAGGTCTTCGTGACCAAATCTATTTTTGAGGTTGTTTAAGTATGGGGAGTATTACCTTCATTGTTTTCAATATATGATTCAATATATTTAAAGTCGATTTAAGGGTTTAGGGATTTTGAGTACTGAACTATTGTTGCTTTTCTGGTGAATCTAATGAGTTTGAGGGATTTGAATTGATGGTTTGATAGGTTTGAGGCTGATTTGGGAGTAAGGGAAATTAGGCCTTCGTGGCCAAAATCTGATGTTGAGGTTTTAACCGTATAGGGTAATTGATTATGAGAATTCTAATGAATATGGGAAAATTGTAAGGATTTTATGAGAATTGGAGGCATAAATATGATACAGGATTGAACTAATAAGTCGTAGATTTTGTGCCTTTATTGCCGTAATACCTTAGGAATGATTGATGGATGTTTTTAGGGCATTGGGGAAGGAAATCGTAGGGACTTTTGGGTTAGCTTTGGTGCTGGTGCGTAACAACGTTTTACTATAATAGCGAGTTCGCACAACGAATGATTCTTCGCACGACGAACACTCGCCCCAGAATCACACGACGAACTGTCTAGCAAACGTAGCAGAGTTTCACGAATTGTGTTCTTGCGTAGTGTTGTCTTGATGCTTTGATGCTGTGATTTTTTGGATGAATTACCTTGAGTATGACTGTGATTCATATGTGATTAATACATGATTGTATGATGATTCCTATGAGTAATGATGTTGATTCCATGAGTTTTTGATGATTATATGATGACATGATTATTATGATAATTTTGATGAATGATGATGCACCTAATGAGTTTATTATGAGGATATTATTGACGTGTGAATCATGCATTTATATGCATTCCGAACTTCGGTCTAGTGTTTGATTCTTGTGGCTTCAGTTCCATTGTGCGAATGTGAAGTATTTTGCTGTGCTCCGGTTATTGTGTAGAATCGATCATATTGATGGGGATCTATGAAGGGTTGATGGCCTAGTGTCCATCGAACTTTGATGAATTGGTACCACATGCACGAGTCTTGTTGCATTTGCATTTATGTGACAATTTGGTGTAATTTATGATATTATGGCTTTTTGATGTTTCCTTGATGATTATGATGATGTTGAATACAAAAAATGACGTTATTTTATATATTGATTCCTATATTGATTATTATGAATCGTTTTACTCACCCTACCTGTTTGAATGTTGCCTCCACGTGGGTAACGTGCAGATGACCAGGTTTAGCCGTGGATGTCGTCTGACTTTTGTTTGACTTAGAGGGTCTTGCTCTGATAGTGTAACATCGGGTTGGGGTCTTTGAGTTAAACCATGTTTTATTGATTTTTGTTATTTTGATTATGTTGATGTGCAAGAAAAACTTTGGATTTTGCCTTTTTGAGTTCCGCTGCCTTTTGAGCAAATTTTGAGTAATTTTGCAAAAACCCGTTGTTTACAGAGCATTGACTTTTATTTGAGTTATTGAGAAATGTACGTCATTTGAGGTGATTTTTATTGTGTTTAATATTTTACTCTGATAAATGTGATTGATTTGCCATTATATTTGTGGGGTAGAAAAGGGTGTTACAAACGACTATCTTCCATACAAGAGAAAAAGAGTTTCTTTGAAGTGAGCATGAAACTTAGAAAGAGCACAACAACAACAACAACGCTTGATCTTCATCATCAATCTTAACCTTAATATTTTCAATATCAAGAGTTAACTTACTAAACATATCTAGCTGCTCAGCCAAGGCTTTATTTTCACTCATCTTTAACGAATACAAAGCTTGCTTCAAGTAGAGACGATTAACTAACAATTTCGTCGCGTACAAACCTTCAATTTTCGTCCACACACTCGTTGCATTTTTATCATTTAAAACTTGCATGAAAACCTTATCACCAAGGCTCAATACAATGACATTGTGGGTTTTTTCGTCCATCGTTGTCTTCTCCTTCTCCGATAGGGCAACATCCATCTTCTCCGATCCTTTCAACGATCCTAACAAACCCTGTTGAACAAGAAGGACTTGCATCTTCAAGCGCCACAAGCTGAAATCATTCACACCAATGAATTTCTCAATCTCATATTTTGTTGACGACATATTCTCTTCCATGCTCACCGCACCAGTTTGTTGTGAACTGATGTCGTCAAGAACAAACTAAAATATGAGAATTTTTTTTTGAATTTATTGAACAAACACAAAAAACCCTATTAGGTTTTACGAAAGAGAAAAGAAGAAGAAAGAAGAATAAGAATTGGTTAAAACTGCTTTACTATTCACTTACTCAATAAGGGTTTAAAAATTATAAGTGAATATCAATAATTAACTTCTCACAATAACCCGAGATAACTAGTTTATTTATAGACTACTAAACTAACTTAACAACTCGGGTTAGAAACAAGGTCAAATTCGACATACTAATTTAAATTACAAGTTAATATATTTTGACATTTATGCTCAAACAAACTTTAACTATAACATACACAACTTTTGTCGAACCATGAAGTTACCCTTGTCGACACTAAAGTTCGATTCAAATACCACAATATATATATATATATATATATATATATATATATATATATATATATATATATATATATATATATATATATATATATATATATATATATATATATATATATATATATATATATAAGTGCATAAATTAAAAATTAAAAATTAGAATAAAAAAGTTAATTGTGAGAATGCAAACAATCATATTTAAAACGGTAAATACTTGTGAAACTAATTAACATTTTATTGTGATTTGATTAAATATATTTTTTAAACTTTCTAAATAAAAAACAAATATCGTTATCCAATAATAAACCATTAATTTTAGCATCTAAATTATTATTTTCTCTTTACTTTAGCTTATATTTAAAATTATTAATTTATAATTATTAATAATTTATTTACATTAATATATTGTAAATAATAAAAAAATAGTGTTACTGACAATTTTTAAATATTTTTATAATATATAGTTGAAAATAGAGTACTAAAGTGTTAGTTATTTATGAAAGTCTAAATATCTTTAAGACTCGTGTTTTATTTTTGAAAAGGCTAAAAATTTCTTTAAGACTCGGTGTTAATTTTTGTTTAGCAAGTGGCTTTCTAATCTGTATCCGTCACCGTTCGGAGTCACTTTGGCCCCATGTGCAACGGTAACTGACCCGTAGAGAATTTGCCCATAAATTAGATAACGTGGTTCACTTTTTTTGTTTGGCCCAATTTTTTGAGAGAAAAGAAAGCGGAGAATTCAAAAAATGGCGGGAACAGTAGCTGTGAGATCAACAAACTCTTCAACACTGAACAACGAGTGGGAGATTTGCTTCGCACGCTTCATCCCTTTCCCTCATTCTACCACTTCTTCGTCTTACTCATCCGATCTTCATCCTCTCCCTCATCGCCTCCGTAACCGTCCTCCTCGCGGCACCTGGATCACCTCCTCCACTTCCGCCTTCCTCAGATTCTCCCTCGATCTCTCCTTATCGGACGTCATCCTCACCGTCTTCTTCAACGGCAAACTCTTCGTAACTCCTAACTTCTCCATTTTCTTCCTCTCTTCAGATTTACTCAATACGGAACTGCTATTGCAATTTGTAAAGTAACTTGAACGGAACTGTTATTGCTATTACTTAATCGACGCAAGTGTTTTTGATCTTCGAAAGTGAAGAAGCTTGTTTCAGTCATTTTCGGAGATTTATTTTGTGTTTTAAACCGCTAGTGATTTTGTCGGAGTCTGAAATTTGTTGTGTGACATTTGGCAGGAAGAGCACTACGTTTCGAAGCTGAATTTCTCTTGGCCTCAAGTATCGTGCGATCCTGGATTTCCTGCAAGGGGAATTAGAACCGTGCTGGTTAATTACAAAGACTACCGAGGCGAGGTAAGATTTGCGTAAGGTGTTGTTAATTCATATAACTCTGTAGCACCAACACCTTTAAAAAAGTGTGTCCGAGTTAGTGTCGGTTCGACTCTTGCGATTACGTCTAATTTGTTCATTTTTTCAAATTATTATTGGTGTTGACATATCATTATTGGTGTCGTGTTTCTGGTGTCCGGGATTTATAGATGCACACACATTGATTTTCACCTATTGAATAATCAGATAAGTTCCTGATTTTTTTTCCGATAATATGTATTTATTAGTTAAATTAGTTATGAATGTGCATTTGATGGTCATGCTGTGATGTTAGGCTGATGTCTTGAATTGCAGTTTACACTCCAGACCTTGATATTGCAGTAAAATATGAGTAAATGTAGGGGATGCGGCTGCAATTATGGTTCAATTGCAAAGATTTTTAGAACTTTTTATGTCTGCAATTTAGGATCACAATTTAAAACTAAGATGAGAGGACTACTTTAACCAAAGAAGTTCTATTGCTTTGTAGCGACTTTATATTTCTGAAGGATCAGTTTAACTATATTTAGTAGATTTTCATGTGACTTGTGAAGTTAATTGATTGAATTCATATGATAGAGCACTTTTTTCATTGTTGATTGTATATCAATATGTTAGTTAATTTCATTTTTAAAGTCATTTGGTCATGTGTTGATTTTGGAGACAATTTTTTGATAACTCCCTTAACGCCTTTCCTTTGTAACTTGTAACATCAATAACAAACTGAAAATACAATGTTGATCCCCGCCTTTGTTAATGTAACTCTGCGTGATCCTAATAATAGGATTGATTTATTGAGTTAACAACAAATCTAGTCCCATAGGATTAATTTATTGAGTTAACAACAAATCTAGTCCCACACATACACTACCTTATTCAGTCAGACTATTACAATTGTGATGCTACCTTTCCTTTATGGCAGATTCAAAAGTTTGCAATGCAGTTTCCATCGATCTATGAAACACAATCATTCATCTGTGCTTTGAAGGTAACAGTTGCTTACCATAATATAATCAATCACCACAATAATATTTAGAACCAGTGGTTGCACTTTTGCACTTATAAAACTATGTTATTTCACTGTCTTGTCGATTCTTGATTTTTTTGTACCTTCCCAGGAGATCCTAAAAGATGGCAAGGGCCCGGAACCTTTAAATATTGACTTTGGTTCGGAAATTTCGTCTCAGTCAGAATTTATGTCAACAAACAAACAATCCTACAGGTATAAAAGACCTTTGTGTCATAGGTAAGATTTTGGAGCGATGGGAGGATGTGACTTTGAGATATTGAGCTTTGATGAATTGTTATTTGTCATTCTGTTTCTCTGTTTAAAACATAACCATTCACTGATCTGTTTTCAACTTTCATATACGACCTTTGTTCTTTCCTTTTCTGTTTTCTCCTTACTTTTATGTGGAGTAGATATAGGCTCTAATTACCAGATCCTACTCCTCTAAAGTGGGCAATACCAATCATTTACAGACAAATCAATGGTTGATACTATTTGCATATCCATAATAAATCAGAGTGTGCTGAAATATCAATTTGTTCACTTCAACAACTCACTTTAGTGGGGGAACCACATCTCTCATTACTTATATTAAAGTATCAGTTGACTTAATTCTGACGGAGACTTGACACATAAACTGAGGCTTACCGTGTTTGTACTCGTAGAGCTTCTGAGGAACTGAGTTTTGTGACTCCGGCTGACACTTACATTCCACAACTGCCAATATGTATGAATAATGAAAGGGAGCAACCTTCAGGAGTCCAAAAAAAGGAAATAGCTTCTGTTCACAACATTGAAAGCATCCTTCCAGCCTTGCCACCCAGTTTTGCCACATTCTTGATGGATTGCTCTGGGATAAACCATGGTAAGGGAACTTTTTTATTTTAACATAATATTTGTTACGATTTCTACCAAATATTATTTCATCTAAATTAAATAATATCTTGCAGCTCAGCCAACTACTACCCAGGAGAATGATCTCAAGTCCCAAATTGCGGTACATATTTTGGATTTCTCATTTTGTTTAGATGCTACTACCTGATGCTTTAATCACCATAATTACATTGATTTGATGCTCATTATGGTATAAGATTTCTCTAAGTTGTGAATATTTTAGAAGTACATCTTCTTTAGTGATTATTTGTTACTCCTGATATTCTTTTCCTTGATGCAGAGATATATGGAAGATTCTTCCTTCCAAGGTAGCAATCCCTCTCTCTTATTGCTTCTTTCATTGGTTAAATATGATGTGCCATTTTATTGTTAGTTCTTGTCTTTTTTCACTTCAGTCATAGAGTAAAACTCGAATAGAAAGTTTTTTTTTTAATAAGCCAAATATAAAGTTCTAAATTCTGAAAACTTCTTAATCTTCTTTAGCTTGGACTTAAATATTAAGGTTTTTACGCTTCCCGTATTTTCGATGTATCTCATACGAGTGAGTTTTTAGTCATGCTCCTCATGCATACTGATTATTAGATGCATTTCTTGTGCTGCATCCTTTTTTTTGTTAATATTTGTATCACAATGGTCTATTAATTTTTTGTAGCCAAAATACTTATGTACCAATTTCATGTTCTTAGATATGTTGATAAAGGTAGAGAAAGTTATTGGAGAAATCGGGGGTGATATGTCACTCTAGGAGTCCCGAGCATTGAAGATGACACACCTATCAGCTAGACATCTCGTAGGGCTTACTGAACCATGGTGACCTTAAACCATGTTCTGCCCAAAATTTGAGCGGCTTTATATTGATTGTTCCATTCTCTCTTAGTAACACACGGTTCAATCCACGTTCGTTTTTGCTTCTTTTATTGTTTCAGCACATTAAAATGCCAAGAGAAAGAAGGGTTACCTTAATATGGTATATCAGTGTTTAGCTAATAATGACATACATCAAATGGTTTCTGTTAACAAAATATTTTTGTTAATGCAGTGATATCAGAACTATTTCAATTCAATACAGTAGACAATTCTTAGCATTGAGCTTTTCTCCACTATGTTACCAGATGCTATGGATCCTATAAAATTCATTCACAAAATCAATCAGTCCACGAATTCCAAGTTATTCTCATCTCAACTAGAGTCTAAAATGATGGTGGAGTCAGAAAATTTATATAACATTGTGGATGAAAATAGGAATACCTGATTATCGATTGCTACAAATTTGCCTTAGATTAGTTTTGTGGAAAAGGGGAGGATGCTTAGATAAATGATCTTTGCCTTCTTTCTGCAGTTGTGGTCTGTCACGGTACACTGCAATGCAACACACAGAATTGGAGAGTATGAAATGGCATTTAAAACTCAAAAAAAAAAAACTCCGAAGTCAACTAGGCTGTGTAAACTCATTCTCGGGCTAATCCAGTGAGAGGATTAAACTTGACCTGGCACCCCCTAATGTGTATGAACAGACGATACTAACCCTGCAAATTCATTTCTAAAAATTTTGAAATTCACAGTCTAACTGCGGAAATTTGAAATATGCGGAGCGATATTTGAAATTTTGAAAATAGTGAGTTTTATTTTTGGAAAATTCAAAATTTCCGGTATTTTATACTGAAAATTTCAACACTTATGGTATTTATCTTGAAATATGTATTGGAAATTTCAATATTTCCGGTGTTTACATTGAATTGCATATTGAAAATTTTGAAATTTCCAGTACAGATCCCATTCTTTATATCGAAAATTTCAAAAATTCCAGTAGTTAAAAAACCTGGTTTTGTACTGAAATTTTTGATATATTCATGGTTTTAATTTTCAGTATGTGCAGAAACTTTGTTTTGTATTGAGAATTCTGAATTTTTCATTAGTTGCCAATATTTTTTTTATTTCGATTTTTTCTTCTTTTGCAGTGAAGTGAAATTCAGAGGCAGAGACGACACTATTGCAGAGAGAGTTGTTGATTGAGCGGCAGATCAGAGTAGGCTGTCAAGGGTGCTGATGCTGAGTCTTCCAAGTTACGGGCAAGACAAGTTGCCCCAACTGGTTCACACCAGAAGCAGTTGGCTTAGCAGGGTCAGTTTCGGGCACCTCGTTGTACTCGACGTCGATCAGTTCGATCAGTAAAGCAGTCTACAAATGAGGTGGTGTCAGATGTTACTATATCGATCTCGTGGATCATCCGGCTGTTGATACAGTTTTTGAACCGGTGGTTGAGCCGATGGTTGATCCAGTTGCTAAGGAGGTTGGTTTAGAGGAGGTTGCTCGGGTGGTCTAACCAGATGCCTTTGTTGCTGAGTCGGTCCCATCGGTTACTATTGACACGGAGGTTACGACTTCTTCGGTTGAGCCCTCTGTGCAGCACACGGATGTAGGATTCCCTAGAGGACCCATCACCGACCAATGCTTACAGAGTATGTTGAGCATGTGACCTTACGACTATGGCAGGGTGATGTATATGTCTTTTATGCTTAACTTTAATTTTTGTTTCTATATGTTTGTCACAAGCGGTATCAACTCATTTGTTTATATTTTGTTGTCACAAGAGTGACCCACACTGAAGGTAACATCGCACGGGTCAAAGATGGATGACTTCTTGAAGATTCTGATGCCTGAGCAAGTTAGTCGGATTATACAGGCCTTCCAACTGCTTGATTTTGCCCATTGCTCCCTCACCATGCTCGACGCTCCATTACTTAATGCGTTTGTTAAGAGGTGGCACAAATTTCATCTTCCGTTCGGAGAAATGACTATTACTCTGAATGATGTCTTCCCATATTTTCATCTTCTCACCGGTGACAGATTCTGGACGACTCTCATTCTTAGCATGACCCTTGCATGTTAGGTTGTTGCACGATATTTGAGATTGTCTAAGGTGGGGGTGCATAAGGAGTTTGGTAAGACCAGGGGTGTGCACCTTCGTATGTCTTAACTTCGGAAGACATACGATCAGCTCGTAACTGCTGGGAGGTATGAGACTGCCGCTAGGGTGTACATTCTACATATAGTAGCATGTACTCTTTTTGCATACAAGTCTGTGTTAGAACACATATTGGTTCTTAGTTATATCTCTATGTTTTGATGATAACACTTACGAAATTTTGTATTAAGAAATTATATACTCTAAATTTTGTTCAAGTATTTTTGCTGCAGATATTAAATTTAATATTCTTTTGAAAGCAAAAATGGATCTGAACGTTGAGCTATGCAAGACTCTGAAGCGTCAGAAGCATCTCTTAGAAGAATCTGAGCGCTGCCTACAGAAGACTCTGGGCGCTGCCTACAGAAGGATCTGAAGCAGAAGCTACAGAAGCATAGACTAAAGACTTTGTATGAAGAGTTTCAAGCACAGTTTTTCAGAAGACTCTGATAGTACTGTACGCTGCAAGTACTGAGGATCTGATCTCCAAACTCTGCTCTGATTTATTACACGCTGAAGCACACTTGCTGCAACACTGTTATACAGCAAATTCTGAAGACATCAAGACTCTGATCACTCAAGGCTCTGATGTGAATTGCTGGGAATTAGAAACTTGTAGAAGAAGAATTCAAAGTTATATCCGTTGGTTATGCCAAACGACTCTTTCCTCTTTTATGTTAGACACAAGAACTCAGGCAAAAAGGATTTCTCTGAACGTTCTACTTCTAGGAAAGGTCAAGTGATGTGAAGACAAAAAGGCTACAGCTCTTTTCAGTACACGATCTTCAAAGTGCAAACGTCTTGAACTTGTGTGCCTATAAAAGCAAGACTTCAACATCTTTCTCAAGTTGACGATTATTAAAAGAATTTCATTGAAAATCTCTCATACAAATTATTCTCTTTGCTGAATTTATTTCATACGTTCTTAAACTTAAGTGTAAATCACAGTTGTGATATAGCTTTCTTAGAAGCATTCAAACACTTGTTTAGTTTTACATTTGATTATAAAAGTTCCTTGAGAAGACCCAGTTGTGGTCAGTAGTTCTTGAGAAGGCTAAGAACAGTTGCTCTTAGTGTTTGCTATTGTAATCAGTTTGATTAATAGTGGATTAAGTCCTTGTGGAGAAAGACAAATCACTCTTGATAGGGTGGACTGGAGTAATTGAGTTCAACGAACCAGGATAAAAATCTGTGTGTTTTTATTGCCAGAATAATTTCTATATACTTATTCAACCCCCCCTTCTAAGTATTTTCTTACCTTCAGTTGGCATCAGAGCTCCGGTTCTGTGTGTGCTATCACTTCACCGTGAACAGAAAAGATCCAGTGAGAAAACTTTGATATATATATATATATTCTTGGTTGTTATTATGGCTGAAACTTCAACATCTAACAGCAACAATAGATATGAAGAAAGGGCTAGAATCATCACAAAACCCCCTATGTTTGATGGGGAGAAGTTTGACTATTGGAAGGACAGAATAGAGAGTTTCTTCCTTGGTTATGATGCTGATCTATGAGACTTAGTCATTGATGGGTATGTTCACCCCACTGATGGGGATGACAAGAAAATTGATAGAAAATCTATGACTGAAGCTCAAAAGAAGGAGTTCAGAAATCATCACAAAGTTAGAACAATCTTATTAAATGCAATATCTCATACTGAGTATGAGAAGATCACCAACAGAGAAACTGCATTTGATTTGTTTGAGTCTTTGAAGATGACACACGAAGGGAACTCACAAGTTAAAGAGACCAAGGCTCTGGCACTGATCCAGAAGTATGAAGCGTTTAAAATGGAAGAATCTGAATCTATATAAACTATGTTCTCCATATTCCAGATCCTCACAACTGGATTAAAAGTGTTGGACAAAGGCTACTCAATTGCTGATCATGTGAAGAAGATCATCAGAAGCTTGCCTATCAGATGGAGACCTATGGTCACTGCTCTGAAGCTAGCTAAGGATCTGAACAAGATCACATTGGAGGAACTAATCAACTCACTGAGGAGCCATGAAATTGAACTTGAGGAAGACGAGCCTCAAAAGAAAGGTAAGTCAATTGCCCTAAAATCTAATAAATCTGTTAAAGCATTGCAGGTGTTAGAAGAAAGTTCTGAAGAGTCTTCTTCTTCTGAAGAAGATGAACTGTCCTTGCTGTCTAGAAGAATCAACAGACTCTGGAAGCATAAACAGAGGAAGTTCAAGAACTTCAAGAAGCCAGATCAACGCAAGGAGTCCTCTGGACCAAAAAGATCGGGAAAGAAGGAGGTTTTTTGCTTTGAATGCAAAGAACCTGGCCATTACAAGAATGAATGTCCAAAGCTTCTAAAAGAAAAGCCAAAGAGGAAGTTTGACAAAAAGAAGAAGGTTCTAATGGCAACCTGGGATGATTCAGATGATTTTGGATCTTCATCAGAATCTGAAGAAGAATGCGCTAACATGGCTCTGATGGCAGGCGTGGAAGATCAGGATGAGGGATCATCTGGATCTGAATCTGACTCAGAAGAGGTACTTTCTGATCTCTCTAAGGAAGAACTTATTAAAGTTTTATCTGAAAAACTATAACCAGATTAAGCTCAAATGCAAGAATCTTAAATGCAATCTTGAATATGAGAATAATCTGTTAAAGTCAGAAGTTGCTGAGCTCAAAGAAAACAATTTGAAAATGAAAAACAATTTTGAAAAAGCTCAACAAGACTCTGAAACTAAGTCAAAATGCAAAAATATTTTAGAAGAATATGACTTCAGCTTTCAGAAGTTTCTGGCTAAAAGCATAGATA